ATATTTGCCGCATAGTCAAACGCAAACGAAGCGATGAAAGTGGCGAAAAATTAAGTCAATTTATGCTGGGGCTCTGAACCCGGGCTGCGATAGTAGTTATTAGACAATTAAGGCGGAGCTAGTTTTATGACCTTTCAATTTCCGCACTGAAAAAAAGAAAATGGCTTTGAAAGCTGCTGTTGGGAAACTTCAAATAAAAAATTTTCCATTTCCTCAAAGAAAAAATCGGTGAAAAAATTCAAAGAGAAAACAAAGGAATAATTCGTGTAATGCGGCGAGTGTTTCATGCGTGAAAAAATTAGGTTCCGAGCTGGGAAAGTGAACGTTCAACAGTGTGTTTGCTTACGGCGCCTTGCATTCACCTTCACCTCTCGTCTATGAGTTCCCGTAAGCCTATTGTGGAGACGTACACCGAAACATTGGTGTACAGCTAAATTTGCAAGCTTTGTGGTTTTCTGTGTATGCCGCGCACGTACGACACGTAAATGCACCAAAACAAAAACAAACATACGTGAATGCTCGCCCTGATTGTGCGATAAAGGTTGTCGCAAAAAACCAGGATTTGTTTCGGAGACTAAAGCAAGCAGTCAAAATTTTAGTTTTGTGGGTGTTAAATAGGATCAAAGCTTATTATTTTCATGTGGACTACGTTAAGTAAGCAATTGAAAAGGTTAAAGCAAAATGACAACTTTAAGTAGAATACCAAACCGTTTCTACATTGACAACGAAATGAAAGGATTATTCCTATGTACGGCATACATGAAGATGTAAGATATGGATAGCTATGTGATGGACTCCACAGCTGTGGCTTTAATTTTTAGAAATACTTAGTAATATTTAAATTCGTTTGGTGTAATAGAAGGTACAAACCACTCTTTGTTTTTAATTAAGAGGAGTAAAGAATAATGGAAAATTCTTATATTGCGAATGATATGTTATGTTCTGTAAACATCTGGTACATTTTTTCTTTTTCAAACCGAATAAGTTTAGTCATATGGTAATCCTAAATAAATTCGTTCACCCCGTTTATATTTCAGTTGAAGAAGGAATGACGAAAAATTTTCATAATATCAATTATATGTAATATTTTCATCCAAAATGGTTAATTTCTGTCATTTTTTAAACCTAAATAAGTTCATTAGATGTAGAGTACGGGAAAGTTACTTAGCTTATATATATTTGACGGGTACGGAATGATAAAAAATCTTATATTCCGATTGATGTTGCGGTAACTTTAATGTATTGATTTGAAAAACTTCATGAAATTATGTTTTCAATTCTATTAAGTAATTCAGGATAAGAAATTTTGGTTAAAATTTATCACGCTTCCTCCCCACGCTATTCCACCTACCTATTAACCAACTTGTTTGATTATCACGCTTTTGTCGGAGTTTTATTTCCTCACTCTATTGTATATCGTTAATGATTTGTATATTAAAAAATACGAGCCGTACCAACAATTCCTTTTTCATTTTTAACACAAAAATTTGCACACAAATGTTTAATTTCTATAATAAGTTTTCTTGATTAACTGCTCCTTTTAGTGCTATTAGTTAGCAATTTTCTAAGTGTTAATCATTTTTAACTTTTGTTTATATTATTGTGTGTGTATGTAATCTCATACACATGTATGAGGTAATGGGAGACTATAGATATATGTTTCGATTATCGATTAAAATTTTCAATGCCTTACTTTATTATCTCAGTAAATTTTGTTTTAGATATCAATTGGACGATCAGCAATTTGTTGGTTGGTGTGGAAAATATATGAATGTGGTAAATATATAGTACCATGTAGTTATGTAGTATGTGGTACCAAGTTTACCAATCGAAAGTTAAAATTGCACTAAAAGTGAATTTTGATTCAAAAAGTTACCACAGGTTCACCAATCAAAAACGGCATATATCGATATAAAGAACCCAGTATTTTATGAGATTTTTATGATGTACATTTATATTACCTGTTGACAAATGTAAGAGTAAGGATACACCATATTATGTTAGCTTTCAGTTGGTCCTTAAATATCAATATCTTATAAGCTAGCCAATATTTTTACTGTTATTAATAAATTTTTAGTATCACACTTGTCTCTTGCCAAACACGTACTCGCAAATAGAAAAATTGCATACTTTTTTAATGGTTATTAAATTATTATTTTCTTGTAATGTTATATATATATATATTTCCTTTTCATTTTGTAGATTTTATAAATTAAATCACCCAAACTTCATAAGCTTCAATCTCATACCTTGTAAAGCACTCCATTAGAACATACACATAAACCGAATCATATTTAAGGTGATATGAGCGCCTCAATATGACGCAGTCAGTCGTGTTTTATATTGTCCCCGAATTATTCTACCTACAATTTTACGGCAAATAATCATCGCAATGAAATGAGCAGGAAGATTCCTAAAGTTGAATTACGTTCTGCGAAAAATCCGCGAGAAATTGTTATAGGAGTGTTAAATTGCGTTTATGGGCATAAAATAAATTTGATGAATGGATTTTAAATTCAATATCAAAAAATATGTCAAATTATTGTTTAATATAATCAGAAATCCATTGAATGGTAAACGTTAAAGAAATGTTTAATAAATTGGAAAATTTTAATGTTTATGTGGAAATATTAAAATATATTGACAATTAAATACCTTAAAATAGCTACGTTAATTAGGAGATATTTATTTTAAGACTATGTGTGGTTTTTGTTTTCAGGATTAGTTTTATATTTTATAATTTATTAAATTTTTATATAGTTAAATAATATTTAAGACATTCATAAATACTTTATCAAACTATATTAACATATGTTATGTATTTCTCGTCATCGGCTATGAAATATATCCGCTTTGACAATAAACTTGTGTTTTTGTTAGTTTCGAATCGATTTGTGAAAAGCATTCTGGTAACTGTGGATTTGTTTGCATATAACATCTTGAATGTGGAATCTTTGCATGTAGATCTTAATCTTAAAGAAAACATATCCTCAGCAACTGATTTCCGTTGTTGTTTTTGCCAAGTTTCAATTTTCTGTAACACGCCATGTTGCAGCGCTTTTCATATCAGTAGCATAATTATAAGTATAAGCTGATTGGTCAGAGTCGTCTAGTATATTCCATTTCCTTTAGAAAAACCATTAACTTCATAATAAAAAAAGTGCTGAAATTGGTTTTACAATGTATATTATTGTTGCATCTGCTTTCTTATTCTCTAGAATTCATTGTGAAGGCACTTACTGTCTCAAACTAAAATGACAGCTTTAAAATTTCCTTACTATGTCAATATTTTCTCCAATATTAACCCTTCTTAAAAAAATTGCAGGAAGCAGTTTATGAAGGTCTATGCAATAACTTCTGACTGCTTTGTACTATAATTACTATTCAACAATTTCAATGACTAAAGCAAGATATTACTTTTGTGAAACAAAAATTGACGCAATCATTTGTTTCAATAAACTCTGATAGTTTCGGACTATCCTGTTTCGACTAACAGGATAATCCTAACAGGATTGTTAGAACTAACAAAAGCGGCAGGTGTTATAGTTTTTACCATATCGTTATAAAAGTCATCACCATAATCTACAACATTCTACCGATTCACCACAAAGACATTCTAATGGATCTAGTCTAGCGGCACCTATATGCTAGATAGTATATTCTGTTAGAAAAGGATATTATGATTATAACATACATTTCATCAATCTTAATTTGCTGCCAAAACCTCCAGTCACTAATTGAGCCCAACACCAACACCAGCTCCGGCACCATAATTGTCCCATAAGCGTATCTGTGGCGAAACGAAAATTGAAATGTGTCTTAGTCCTGATACGCCTACATACCCAAGCTTTGTATGCCTATGTATTATTACACACAAACGTGTTATATATTGTGTACCTACGTAGTACTACACACAATGGGCTTATATATTTATATAAAATAGATCTCCGGCTTTATGTTTCAAGATCTGATAAACGGTACGGAAAACATTTTTGCTTATCAAGCTATTTTTGTTCACACGGTCAATCATTGATTGATTTCCCTAGAATTTTCAAATATCAATTTTTAATAATTATTTTACAGAATATGGTATATACATACTTGAGATGTTTGCCATTTTTAAAATAAATACCCGATCTTTTATTGTCTGTATTTAAAGAGTATATAGCTTCATTTTTCCATTTTATATTTCTTTATTAACAATTAGAGAAAAAATTTTTACTTAAAATCTTCCTATTTCGTTTTTTAAATTAACTTAAAAAATAAAAGTTTAATATTATTTACACTTAAATGGAAACGAATTTCTTTATCTTTCATCTACATAACTTTCTCCGTAGGTACCTTAATCTTTTCGTTTTTGTTCCAACTAAAAAATAGTAGTGGCATATTTCTGCCTTCTTTATGGCAAATTTAATCTTTTTCTAATAAATAATGAATTTCTACACTTAAACGTGCTATTTCCTATAGTAATAATACTAAGACACTGTTTTATGCTATCATTTGGCAAGGATTTTGGTAATTTTCCACTTGCTTCACATTTTCAATGACTTTGACTATGACCAGAAAAATTGAAAAAGTAGGTCAGCTCTACTTAACCTTATGTTGGCGGCGTGCACAAAATAGCACCGGAGGCAGCAAACGACAAGAGCAACTTAATATTTATTGTTTTTCGATTAAGAGGTTAGAATATTCTCCTTCGCCCACATTTACTTATGTTTAGCCTCATTATGTGATAGTAAGGAGAGCAAGAAGGAAGCAAAGATTCTGTCTATTATATATGACTTTAAAAAGTTTTATAATATGAAAAGAAACTAAACTTTCTTAAATGAAAAGAAATTTGAAAGAAAAGTTTTTTCTAGGTTAATTATAGTACTAATATTTTCAATAATAATTCCAACAAAACTAATAATACTATCGGTCTTATATTTGCATAGTCTATGTGTCTATAAGTGCATATATAATATATAAACTGATTCTCAAGTTATTTCATTTTACTTTGTTAAAAAAACATTTCTTATATAATTATTGGTATTATATGAGATATATTCTGACACTTTAAATATTACTTAATAAATTTCTTCAAAGAACTCTTTCTCATCCGCATGGTTGTTGACCATGATTCTGCCGAGTGGTTCAAAAAGACAAGCCCTCGTTACGTTCTTTGCTGCTTCTTTGCAAGTTTGTCTCATTATGGTCTTTAAATCAATATCCTGAAAACTCCAAATAAGCTCTACAGAGTTGTAAATGATAAATATAAAGCCTAGACCAATTCGGACAACAATCTAAAAGAAAAGCAAGCCCATATTTATTATACCAAAAAAAAATAGCAAATATTACATCGAATGGTACAGCCACTGCACCGTTTAAGAACTTCGATTGTGCACGATCTGTAAGGAAACCAAAAAAATATTATTTACTTTAAAATAAGTTGTCAGCTTACAATATGCCATGGAGAGTGTAGCGTGCATAAGGAAGGCAACACCGATTAAAAAACCAATTTTGTTTAAAATACTTGATGCCATTTTTGGTTGAAATTTGTAGATATTCTAAAGGTTTTTTATTATTACAATTATGTTTATTATTTATTATTACCCAACTCATCTATTAATTTTAAATTTCTTTGCATAATATGGCTTACCTGTAAAGCAGCGAAAATAAAAAGAGTGAAAGTTTTTGCAAGAACATATGGTACGTACAGTGATAATATTTTAATTGCAGTGCAAGTCAAACTGTTTGTTTGAAGGGTTGTATTTGCAGATCATCTGGAAACGTTTGATATACAACCCAGCTAAACAATGCTAGTTAGGTAGAAACCAATTTCTTCAACTAATTACTAACGAGTTCAAATATTGTCTACTTAAAAACTTGTTTCGATTTAAAAATATTTTAGTTAAAATTTTTTTAAACATGTGAAACCCCTTAATTTTGTCAAAACTTTTGACAGTTAACTAGATTTTTCGAAAAATGTCTAACAAATGTTCAGAAGCAATCGCTGATCTCTTTAATAACATTGACTTTTGCATTCTCATGGAGGAAGGAAAATCTCACAACTAGTATTTGTGTTATTGTTTGACATACAAATAAGAGACTTGTTGTTTTTTGTTTAATTTTGGTGTAGCAAATGCAGCCATTGTTTAAAGAGACAATAGATATGTATATGTGGTTCTTTGCATTTATCAGGGAAGTGACGAACTTTACTTCACTTAATCACATTTCATTCAAAGTTAGAAGTATATACAAGTAAGGTCGCTTTGCAGTTAAGCAATTATCAATGCCTGATTATTATCACGTTTATGCGAAAGACATTTACAATTTTTAGAGATTACTGTTCATCTGATAAAATTATATTCTAAAGTTAAAATACACATAGATTGCTTTCCAATTTTATTTCTTTTATGTTTATATAACTACAACCAAAACCAACATTTGCTAAAATTCCAATATTCAGATATTGTTGTTAGTCTGTAAATGAATGAATATCTCAATGATGGCCAAAATAGAAATTACCATCGCAATTAATTTGCGTGAATTAATTTGTAATGTTACTCATCTTATAAATGCAATTTGTGAAAATCATAATTATCGCTCTCGTATAAACTATGTTGACACTTGTCACTTTAGCCTCTTTTGCCTATTTTTAGATGTCTTTTGTATGAATTTTATATGGAATTCGTTTGAGAAACGATAACTGCATATTTGGCGAATTAGATAGATAAATACTGAAGAAAACTTGATTCCAGTCAGGGCAAGTATTGTTCTAATACTTTACTTACCTCTTAATATTTTTACTACTTAATCACTTATTGACATAAGTATTGACTAAAGTAAAGATCGAAGCTTTTATACATATATATCTATGAACAGATGAACAGATGAAAATATACCCAAATAAATTCTTGTGTTTGACCGGATAGGTTTTGGTTAAGTCAGAAATTGCGTTTTTATTTTGTGTTGTTTCAAATTGAAAATGAAAATGAATATAAAGGCAAAGAAAAATCTATCCACTGTTTTTCCTTCGGAAATATATATAAAATATATTCCTTTTGTAGTAAGAGATCATACTTACCTCTAACGCATATTCATAATAACGTTAATTTGTTATTATGTATAAATTTATATAGTATGCCTAATTGTTTGAAAAATGTTTCTTCCTTCTATTCTTTCTTAATCTTTTTAAAATCTTTAATAATTCATAATAAATATTAATACCAATAACGCTAATGGTACGAATTACCAAAATTAAAGTGCATTATTTTAATATTATTAAGTTAAAATAATGGATTTTTTTTATTATTTTTATTAGTTATAGTATTAACTACTTATGTATAGACAGATTTCGAAAAGTACTGAACCACCCAAAAAAAAATCTTTAATTAATTGAATTTTTTCTGACCCATCATCAGTGCTCTTGGAATTATTTTTTGAATTTGAATATTCGTAAATCATTTTTTGAGACTATAAGTATCAGGTATTAAACTCGTGCACCATCAAATTTGAAGCTCAGATTTAAGTTTCATCAACCAACTGACCCAAAGACGTACTTGACTTGTATGTTCGCAGTTTTTCTGAAGTATTGTTAATTAAAGTATTTTCAAGAAATAAATTTATTTATTCACTTATTAATATATATGTTTACAAAAAATATTTTCTGCATTTGTATTATTTAAAAGCAAAAACTTGAAACTTTTTTATTAACTGAAGAAACATTCAAACTGCACATATGGTTGTCAAGAAATAGTACTGACAATATTGAAATAAATAATGCATATATACCTATCAGCTGATATAAATTTTACAGATAAGTCTAATGTTCCGAATATATTAAAAATATTTTTTTTTCACAATTTTTTATCTGAAAATATTCATGTAGCATTATATATCAGTTTATATTAATTATTCTTGTTTAATATTGGTTGCTAATATAATATAAAATCTGCTCAAATGTTGCGAAAAAGTCTGAGAACCAAATCTGAAACTATATATACGAATATAAATAAATGAACAACTCTGTTAAAACTCTTATCAATTTGGTTTCTCTTTTCTAAACACACAAAATGGATTGTGTATATATATTTGTCTCTTTCTCACTTAAACTATTTTGCCGGTTAGCAGTTACCTTTTTAAAGCCACTGCACTTTTTATAAGAATATTTTTTGATAATCAAAAAAATATATCAAAGTTTCCATTGTTTGAGACAAAAAAGACAAAACTTCTGCAGCTTTACTTACAAATTGGAGCTTATTTTCATGTAGATGTTTAAGTGAGGACAATATATTGTAATTGAACACTTCCTTTAACATTTCATAGCTGTTTTGCGATTTTTTGTAAATAATATTTGTATCTCCCATCTAGATTGCCTTTTGAGATATGAAATCCTTTTTATTTTACAATCTTTAAATCGAACTATTTTTTTACAGATGTGTCTAACTATAGTTCTTATTGTATTATATACAATTTCCAAAATAGTGCAAGCCCGTGTCTTTGTCTTATAATGAAACCAAACTTGATATATGAACTTTGTGTCAATAGTTTTTAATTACATACACCGGCTGTTTAATGACTTTGAGAAATGCTGTTTAAAAAAAAAAATAAATTATTTTTATTAATCCTACAAATATTTTAACATAATTTATTCCGTAGTGACAATATACCTTCCAAAGATAAGCTCCATGTTTTTGTGCAACAGAGACGCATATATGTTTCCAATCTAGTACCGTTTTATTATTTGGTAATAGTTTTGTTATTTCACTGTTTTTATATTAATAAATAAATTTTATGCATATCCAGGAATGGAATTTATGCATATCGTAACCCTAGAGGTACTGTTTCTTTTTGGACTTCGACTGCAAAAAATATATTCTCTTTGTGTTAATAGAAAATGGATTTTAACAAGTTCCATACTCATCTTTACTGGTCTTGTAATTAAAGACTGATGAATATTATGATAATTTTAAAAAAAGTAGCTATAATTATAAATCTATCAACTAACTAATAAATTTACCAACTAACGATCTTAAAATCTATTCTGGCCTTTATGTTGTATTATAAGTGAAAAAGTAACGTTTCAAGTAGTTTAAAATAGGATATGTCCAATAAATTAAAATGGTGGTTAAAAATAATGATAGATATTGAATGGTTTGATAGACGAATTGGGAAAAACATGGTATATGGTTTGTATATTTTTGAAAGGAAATGCAAACATTTTCGATGAATGTTATTGAAACTGGAAAAGGGAATATGAGATCATATGATTTGTTATGCATAATTTGAACAAATGTAGACTGCGATCATATCAAAGTAAACATAAGTTACTTTATTGTAGTTACATTTGCATGAAAATATTACTAAAATGAACTAAATATACATTTGGACAAACTATATGTCTAAAGATCAATATATACTCAACAAAAAATTTTAATGGATGGAAACTCACTCAAGTTTTCTTAATTCATTAAAAAAGTATGTATGTATGGGTTAAGTTAAGTCATTTCAGAGTTTAATTACATTTCTCTCTACTCTTTCCATTTAAATAACTTTTCAAAAAGTATACGACATTCTTGTCATAATATTTACTTGAATATAAGTAGATTATTTTGAACTCAATAAATGTATATAAAATAATATACTTATATATACAATCCATGTTTTCTTGCTTATGAAAGTCTCTGTAAAACAAATTTTACATTACTCAGTGCTAAAATGTTAACCGCAGTACAAGCTCAGCAATCTTCTTCAATGACTCCAGCAATTGCAAGTGCATACGCTGACGTATGAGCAACAATTTATGTGCATTTTTCTAAAGAAGTACATCAACAGCAAGGAAATTTATTTTTAATTAAGTAAAAATTAATTCAAAGAAAGAAAAAGGTTGATTTATTTTTAAAAGCAAAAATAAAAGTAAATATAGAAGAAAAAAATTCTTCCAAGAATATAAATTGTGTGTGTATAAAATAGAATTTGAAAAGCTACAAATAGAATTTAATTGAAATATTTATTAAGAGAAACTTTCAAAAATAAAATTAGCACTAAAAGTAAATATGAAATAAAAGTAGTTATAAGAAATAGAAAACTCAATATAAAAAGAAATAGCTAAAAATGAAATTAGATAAAATTTTAAAAACGTTTAGATGCAGTTTATGATGTTTTTTTATATAAAATGTATAATTGTTATTATATCATTATTATTTTATTTGAATTTGAATAAAATAATATGATTTTCCCATTGCAGTCAGATCACATAAAAAACTACTGCCTTTAAATTTAAAAAAAAAAAATTATGATAGTTAAGCAATTTATATAGCTGTGGTTTATGCGTTAGTTTTTACTAACATTCACCGCAAGTGCAACACTTTTTGGAAAGCAGTAATTAAAATTGATAGAACTTGCGGTTTGAATAAAATAAATTAAGTTTTCTTGACTTTGTATTTGAGCAAACAAGCCTGTTGTACTAGATCCGACTCCTTGATTTTCGTCCAAATATTATATACAGATTATTTCACTATCAAATATTCTTTAAAACCAATTATTGTTGATAAAAGTTTGATAATATTATATGCGAAGAAGTATCTTGATTAAATATTATATATTAGTGTTTTAATAATAATAATTCTTCGAAAATTAAAAGTAGTTTTATATTCGAGAGACCCTATGTTCCACTTAGGAGCGAAGCACAGCAATAAAGTAAATAGTAAGTAAAGTGTATTCATTGTCGTGGGATCAGACCATTAGCCAAAAGTATACTACGGGTGATGTTTTCTGATTATTTCAGTTCTTTAAAAAAATATCCACCATATTTATATATAGCCTTTATTTACATATGCACAAATATAAGACTGCAGAATTTCAGGAAAAACTTAAAT